AAGTAATAGAACTTCGTTGTACACATTTTTTTACAGTTATATTTCCATTTGTGTAGGAAATAACGTAAGTGATCACTTTTTCCAATTTACATACATCTCTTCAACAAATTCCGTTACATCTAATTGTATATTCTTCTCTTTGTAGGATTCTCTAGATCAGTTACATAAATTCGATTGGAAACATCTAGTTTAAACTCGTGTACTATATTTATTCATATGAAGTACGAACAGTAATAGAATATCTAATGCGAAAGCGAAACTTCCATGCATACTCAACACTCATACCTCAGCCTTTACTGTATAAAGCCAGTCGAGCCGATATTTCGTATATTTTGGATATTTTTAGTTTGTATTATTATATACAACTCACCCTTTCGTGACTGAGCTCCAAATTTTGTATGATCCTTGCAAAATATCTTTAAATCTTTACAGATTCGACTTAAAAGTCGATTGACCGTTCTCTACCGGTAATTAAACTATTCCGAAGTTAGGTACTGGTAATAGATTTTACCCAGCTTTGTGCATTCTGTTTAATTCCACCGATCGGATGTTTTTATACTTGGCACACAAATTCCAATATTCAGTTCAAAGAACTCAACGTGCAGTTATCTCAAATAAATCAAAAAGAAAGTTAAAATCGGTTAGAGGGTTTTAAATAACGCTCATTGGTGGATGGATACCTGACTACCATGCTCATGAAACTATGTGAAACTTTTCACTTATGAACAAGGAAGTTGAATTGCATTTTTTTTTTCAGAATCCTAAAAAGCTAATGAAATTCTGTGGTCAGATTTAGATTTGGCGTATCAGAATCTGTATAAAATAATATGTCACAGGCTAATGAAAAAGTTCAACCTCGTATTATAACAGAAAAACCGCAATTTTCTTCAAAAAAAACAACTTTAACATTGATTTTAGATTCTCTCTATATTTGTCCTTTATCCTGCAATATCTTAGCTTTCACCACGAAAAGGAGATTTATCCCTCTATTTTGTTCTTATAAAAAGTTCTACAAACATAAGTCGTAACATTTTGTCGTTCCTGGAAGACGGTCGTATGTTACATTTTTATAAAATTTAAAAACAATTTATTGCTCATTTATTGCTATATTTTCAAGTACCAAAAACTTTGGAAAAGCGTGTTTTACAATACATTCTATTCTTTTTCCATGGAAAGCAACTTTTGGAAAGTTTGTAACTTACGTCCTTCTTCCAGGCACCCTTTCAAATACTCAGTTCAATTTTTTAGAAAAGTTACTTCGATTTATATTGCCACTATTACAACAGGTAGACAGCAAGTACAAAAGAAAAATGACCAACTATGGAATACCATTTCCTTTTTTGAACATCATTCTTAAAAAATCCCTCGCAACAAATGAAAAGGATTTTATTGTTGACACCTGATATGGGCAGCATTACACTTAGTTTATTCTAGGTTTACAGGACACCGATTCACAATTTTTTGACAACTTTTTTACAATCTTTTCGATTTACGTTTTATATCTGCTATTTGTCTCTGTTAGTACAACAACAACTGAAGTACAGATTTATTCCTATTTCTTTTTGAGTATTTTTAAATGATTTATATTTTCTGTAATTCAAAATATAATGTTTTTAAAATCAAAAGTTAGGAAATGTAGAGTTCCGATGTTTCATTTTAGACAGAAAAATAAGATTTCTTTGATACGTTTGTATTACAGTTGTAAAATACTGTAACAAAAGTTACAACCTTGTTCAAATCAAGTTTTGATATGGTTATTCAGTCGTATATTTACGCTTGATTTAAAAGCAGTCTTATATTTTTGAAATTCTGAACTTTCATATCGAGCTAATATTAAAAGAACATAAATTATACTTAATATGGTATAGGTACTCTAATATGGACCACATTGAGGATTTTCTCCAAGTTAAAAGCATACCATTTTGCTTTTTAAAGAAAGTCACATAACATTACAAATATTTATGAATCTGATAAAGAAATATGTTAGCTGCAACAACAATAAAAATATGAGGACGGTAAAATAATAACAGAGACGAGAAATACATCAATTCTATGCATTGTTAAAAGTTTTCAAACAGCAACAAGACAAAATGATCTCTTTTCTAACCTTCGCTCCATTAGCGATTCACAATGTATGTGCATCGGAGTAATTAGGGTCTTTGAATGGGGTTGGCCAGGTCCATTAGCTTTATTAACAGTGTCAAATCTTGGAATTTCGGAATTTTGGAATTTTAGAATTTTAGAATTTTAGAATTTTAGAATTTTAGAATTTTAGAATTTTAGAATTTTAGAATTTTAGAATTTTAGAATTTTAGAATTTTAGAATTTTAGAATTTTAGAATTTTAGAATTTTAGAATTTCAGAATTTTAGAATTTTAAAATGAAGCTACTTTGCTCTTAGATTAAACAACGAAATTTAATTGTTTACATAATGTACAATAATCAATAACTAATTATTGTAGACTTTATGCACTAATAACAAATCCTAAAACCGTTTTTCTCCACCATCTTCGGTTTTTGCAAACTGTAATTTTGAAAGAAAATAATGTCAAATATCCAGTTTAAAAAATCTTGTTGCTTTAACTGTAAAAGTTATATAAATTCTCTTTCTAGAATGGAATCTCGCAATTAAAACAACATGTAATGTCACAAGTGCAAAAAGGTGTCATGTAACATTTTTTTAAAATGTGATTTTTTTTATTAATAATACGCCCTGGATAACACTATATCTTTCTAGTATGTTTATTTTCCTGTATACTTAATATAACAATTTTGAATTTTCAAACGAGAATAATAGTTTATTTTAAAAATTGGAAGTCTGAAACATAAACAGACTGCAAAGTACAATAGATTTTGTTTTCAATTGCAAAGTAAAGTAATTCCGAGAGACGTGAGGTGTTGCCAGTGATCATCAACGCCAACGATGCTTGACGTTGGCGCTAAGAGTCTGAGAGAGATGTCGAGAGACCATTGATGGTTGAGAACTAGTAGTAATTCCTTGTACTCCACAGAAATTTTCAAAATGAATAATATTTAAAAAAAAGTAATTAATATTCGAGAAAAACTGACAGATAATGAGTATCTCGTTCGCTTTAAAGATTGTTTAAACACATTTAAAAACTTACAATGCTTTAAAAATATGATTTTATTTGAGAAAATTCTTAGAGGAAGAATTTGTATAATTTTTACAACTAAAGTATAAAAAATTGTTTAATTTGAAAATTCGGCTCTTTTATCCAAAATTAAATTTCTTAGAAAGTGAGAGTGATGGAGAAAAATGATTTTTAGTAATCGATACACAAAGATTTACAATAATTACTTATTAATTATTATAGTAACTAGTGATAAGGGCATTTTTACAATATACAATTAAAGTTGTTACATATAATATTTCTACGTTATTTTATACTTATGTTACATTGTATATCTTGTACGATTGTGAATGCTGAATTAAATTCCATGATATTGCAATTAGAGTTCTCTTTTTGTAATTGGTCACTGTTATGCAATACAACGTTAGCCAACATAATTGCCATTTTGCGTTAAACGTTTTAGAAGTTTAGAATGATTTCTTTCATTTAATTTTTATAACAATATTTAATTTGGAGATTAACGAAATGTTGTTCAAGTATAATTTTGATGCATTTATTTATTAGATGTTATAAAACATCTTTTTAATTAACCGTACATTTTATTGCAAAATTACTAAAATTACTTGTTTATTGAATGTAAATTTTAATGACAATCTCATAAGTTAACATGTTATTGATAACGGATGATGGAACATAGCGGAACATATTTTTTCTCAATTATATTTTTTTCAACTCAAGTGTAAACAACTTGAATAAAAGTACAAAAATATCTTTTTTGATAGTTTAAAAAAAAAAATTATATTAAAATATCAATTTTTGAATTTTCATGGGTTAACACTGTATTGAAAAGTAGTGTCCAATTGAAACTAAGTTTTATTTTATGATTTTGTAACAACTTTTATCCTTTTACTGAATCAAACAAGAATGATTCATAGATAAACTATTTGTAATAAAACATCTAAGAGACTCACCATAAGTTTACAGATACTAACAATTAGTAAATTCATAATTTCTCTTGTACTCGCTACGAAACTTATTAAACTCTCAGCTTTGAATAAGATGTCTCGAATGTCTGATGTAATTTTGTTATCCTGAACTATCTCATTAATTGTCAAAAAAATACAAAATGAAAACATTATCAGGGCAAGTTTATTATACTTCAGAAAAGAAATTTGGCTACGAAGATAAAACTTGTCTGAAGGTCATGTCTTTCAAGATTTCACAGTGATATTTACTTTTTAAATGCAACTGCTTTTTCGTATATAGGTCGATTTTTTGAAACATTCTACGTGAAAAGATATTCGGATATACAATAATATTAGAGCAAACAACAGTTAAAAGAATATTTTAAATTAAAAAGTGAAACACATGAAACAAATTGATAACTTTTTTAATATTCCATCCTAATGTAAAATGTTTCAAAGAATCCATTTATGTAAAAAAGAACATGGAGTTACATTTAAAAGAAGGTCGGTTTGAAGTTTTGAGAGATATGACCTTGAAATATCCTTCACTTCCGTAGCCTAATTTTCCTCTCGGAACACAATAACTTCCCCTAAAGCACCTTTTATTTTGTATCTTAAAATAAATATATTTTATTTCTATTCAACTGTAATTGAGGTGTGATATTTTACAATCACATTTTTGTTACAAAATTAAAGAAACTCTTATTTCATCTGTTACTAAAATTATAAAGCTTTTTAATTTGAAAAACGAAACTTTCTTTCGCGAAACTATGTTTAATTGTAGATACTAGTGTAGATGACCTACTAACCACGTTGCAAATAGTAATGAATGAGAGAAACGTAATAAATATAATTTTGTATGTAACCGACATTGAAATGTAAAAATATTATCTTTCAGAATACATGCATAAATGTCATTAAGAGTTTATATCTAAATACATACCTATTTTTCTAAAGGTGACCAGAATTAATTAATAAACTTATTAATTTTGTAGGCTTAAGATTTTCAGATAACTTATTTCTCACTCTAATGTTTCTTCACTTGTATCTTCGATCACTTTCTATTTGCAATAGGAAAACTTTTAAAGTGTCTTTAATCGTTCCTGATTAGCACTGTTAGATTACCACGGTAGCACATAGAAGTATAAAAGAAGCCATTGAATCTCGGTTAATTAATGAAAGGTGAAGACGTTTGATATTTGTAAGAAATCGAATGAATAAGTAAACGGGTGAAACGGTGACAAAGTCGGTGAACAAACTGCAAGGGTGAAACGAGAAGGACAAGACGAAACAGAAGAACGTCACGGCGACGTGAAGGCTGACGGTACACTGACTACCCGCCTCGCTGCTCCCAACGACCGAACACTCGAGAGAGAGAACACCCATTCTCCCATTCCGATCCATTTTCCCCTACTGCACCAACACGTTCTACCATGCCAAAACCCACCCTCCCACGTGATTCCCCGCGACCACCCTCTCAACGTCCTCGACCCTAGCTTTTACTGATCGAAACTGAATGATCCACTTCGCTAACGATCCACGATCCTACCACCTATCTATGTATATGCCTTTATGTTTACTAGAATGAAATCATTACTAACCACGTTCGATCTTTCAATTACGAACGTTTATTACCTGCTGGAAATCAGAATAGTAATAAGTATCTGTTTGAACAGAATAATCTTTGAGAATTTCTCAAATGAAAAACCGAAAAAAAAAGTCTAAGGAATATACTAACATTTTCTCAACCATAAATATTAAGTAATAGCGTATACAGTTAGCCTTAGAAGGGTGGAAAAATATTGAAAATTTAAAAAATTATACCGTTTTTATTTTTTCTTTCTATTTTTAAGATAATTTGTGCCTCAAATTTGTTGTTTTAAACGAATGAAAAAAAGTTTTAGGTCGACGGAAAACAATATTATCGTGTTTACAATTTTATATACACAATTTTAGTTCATAAAAATAATACTACCAGCTATAATACTTTGGAATACTATTTTTAAGAAGTTAAGCTTTAAGTAAATGCAATAAAAAAAATTCAATCTTTTTGAAGCGACACTCTAGGGAAAGTGTTGACAGACAGGGAATAAGCATTCCGTAAAGGTAAAGCATTAAATACCAACTAAACAACTAGCTACATGTATTAAAATTACTTTTATAAACTAAATTATATAGGAAGATATTTTCATAAAGATAAGTAACGAAACTGATATCTTTTTATAGTGTATTAAATTATAAGTGTGAAAAACATTATTAGTAGGAGAGACAAGGGTCTAAAGTCTAAAGTAACGTTGTAAATAAATAAAACATTATTAGCATGATGTCAAATTATAATTGAAGTATAAATAATGTTGTTTTTCTTAAATTACAGCACAGGATGGATAACAAGAAATGTTACAAGTAGTTTTTACTACAGTATAATACAAAATTCTTTTTCAATTTTTTAGAATCAATAAGGATTTAAACCAGGAGTGGATCTAGAAATCTTACTTTAGAGTGGTGAAATATAGGAGGTCCATTTCGATCTTTCGACACAATTATTTCTCAAACTATTCATTATTCCGAAAAATGTTTTAAGTGGAATTTAGTTTATTTTTAGAGGGACATCTTATAATGGTGACAAATCTTGTCTAGGTGGAGGTACTCCCTTTTTAGTGGAACTGTGTACTTATTTTTTGGAATATTTTGTGTAAAAAGTGTTAAGTTAAATGACATGTTTTGTGTTAAAATTTAAGCATTTGATACTTTAATATATTTGTTCGTAGATTGTTTTATCCATTTAAGCTATGCAAAAATAAGTAAATGCAAATATTTTTTAACACGCAACTCCATGTTTAGTTTCGAATATAGATTGATTATTATTCTAATCATTTAGTATGAAAAAGTATTAGGGTAAAATATAAAAAAAAATCAATAACATGGGAGATATTTTAATCCCCGGAGGACGGACCATGGAGAGAAGCACAGTTTTAATCTAATTCTGATTTTTATATTGTTTTCATTTTCTAAATTTTACACTGTCGTTTTATATGAAATTCTTTAATTTAAAAATTATACATTGTTTTGTAAGTTTGGCAAAATAATGGTTGAAGAATTAAATTTTATATAAAATGCCTATGGTTTGAATTCAAAACATTTCAAGTATTTTTGGAATCCTACCATACTACCATTTACACACAATATTTCAGGGAATCAATCTATGTAAAAGAAATGGTATATATACAATCCCACTTAAAAAGAGAAATGTAATCTTGAAATCTCGGGGACGTCTTATAAGATTTATAATCACTGTAAGATTTTCCTTTCGAAACAAAGTAAGTTCTACTTCAAACATTCTTTGACATAACGAATGGTTCAGGATGTAATTATAATAGAAATAAGAGTTCAAATAAGACACCCTGTCTACGGTAGGGATAGGGTCTTCGTGGTAGGGATAGAAAGTAATCCTTAAAACAAAAGATGGAAATAGTTATGAAAGTTATTTCATGGTGAAAGAAAAATTTTTCTCGTGTACAGGTGTTTCAGAAGATTTGAAAGCGCTCATTTATTAAAATTGATTGATGTATCTTCTTTTTAAATGGACAATTTCTCAGAATATGCTACATAAAAAGTACTACAATACAATGTATTATTTAAAAAATCAACAGGATATACGATAATTTAACTCTTGGAGTACTATGGACTCATATATGCGTCCAAACATAATTGTCATAGTAATTTATACATAATTTAATAGGTATTGTGTTGTATTCTTGATACGAAACATAACTATAAGTGGATAATAGAGATTTATAATATAGCTTTAAAACATGAAATTATTGCTTATTTTAATTTAAATTACTAATTGCACTCTGTGCAAGCTTAAGAATACTTCATTTTGAAAGGGATACATTAAAAAGTGAAGTACTTTGTATAAAAATTTGTAATATCTCCAAAATTATTAATTTTTTAACATTGCAGCTTTTTTTATATAAAATGTTTCAAAAAATCCATTTACATAAATAAACATATGCAGTTTCATAAAAAATGAGAAATACAAATGCATTATTTTTTCATTTGAATCTATGCTTTGGTACAGTCTGCGTAAAAAAGTATTATAGTACAATGACAAAACATCAATAATTCTTGAGGTATTTCAAATTCTTACAGAAAACCTTTTCCCTCGGAATTTACAATAACCTACGAATTGTTGATCTTTAAAATATTATACCCTAGGGCTAGAACTACCGTCGTTCGAAAAATATTTATTTTTGAATTGAAAATAAAGTAGAAAAATAAATAAATAAAAGATAAAACATAAAGTAGGATACAGAATAATTTTTGATTGTTGAAATATTGTTTAGGGTACTCTAGAATAATATTTCTATATTGTAAGCAAAAATGCCTAACGTTCAATTTAAACAAAGGCGATAGAAGGACGACCAGATGTGTCTGGATTTCGTCACCCAAGTCAAGGGACTGCATCGCCAGGCAGGGCCATAAACGCTTTTGTTTAGAAAAGCGGACCCCAGCTTTCTTATGGGAGTCGAGTCACTTGCAGTCAAAATCTCAGAAGCGTTAGACGTGTTTTTCCGTTCCGTTTAATAAAGTTAGTTTTTCTAAAGTAAAACTGTGTAATTTAATCTCCCATAATCCAATATTGATCATGACAAAGATTAACATACACTTTAACCTCAGTAATTTCTGTAACTCAAAATATAAAATCCAGGTTCCCTCATTTTTCTAGTGTTAATACATTTTTATACAAAATTTGAAGCTACATGTACAAAAAGTGATATATGGTTCCATTTGAAAAGATAAAGGTGACCTTTATGTTTCTTAAGCCCAGCTGAGACAAAGTTTTGTTATTCATGTAACGAACCCCATGGAGCTATACAACTTTTGTTTCAACACTTCTTTTCGCTCCTGAAATTGTAAAAGTTATTCGGGTCACTTGTCTTGAATAACTCACCCTCAACAAAAGTATATTATTTATTCATCTTCTATAAGATTTGCAATTTGGTTACAGTTTATTCATTAACATTTTTATTTGATAGCAGCTTAAACAATCAAGTTCATATCGACTGTGTCATAAGATGTATTACAATTTACTAAAATTAAAATAGTAGCGAAAGCACTTTTAGTTTGTAAAATAAATTAATTTTTTTTAAATTCCCTCCTCCCTCCAGTTTTCCTCTGATTTATGTCAAGCAAGGTTTACAAATTTTAAACCCACGAGGGACGACAAAGAAACTTTCAGTAATTTTTTCTTTCTAGTTCTCATAAAAACAAATAGGTACTGTATGGTTAAAAAATGTAAATACGATTTCTGTAGTTGAAAACGTGTAACGAATGGTTCTATTATTAACATGTTTGAAGGTATTACTTTATTGGGATAACTAAGATTTTTGGATGGGATGGACCAGGTTTCTTAGCATCCAAGGTAGATGTAGTGGGGGGAGGCTTCGGCCTCCCCCAGGGGAATAGGAGATCGCAGATCGGCGGCTTCTTGCGGAGTCGCTGGGTGGCCGGGGTTGGGGCCCGTTGCACGCGGCCCGAGGAGTAGCCGGGTGTGGCCCCCGTCGTCGGCGGAGTTGGCACTAAGGGGGAGGGTCAAAGGTTAGACCCTCCCCCGTGATGGGGCGCTATGCGCCAAGGGTGGTTGGGTCCCGGTGTTGTTCTTTACGCCCAGTGCGGGTCACCATGGGGGTTTTAGCCGGTAAAAATCCGACACTACCCTCGGCCCCTCCGCAGGGGGGCTGGGGGTGTCTTTGGACGATTTCCCCCACGAAAAAAAAAAGGTTCCTTAGCATTATGAATAGTGTCAAATGTTAGAATTTTGGAATATGGGAATTTCGAAATTTTTGAATTTTAGAAGATGAAAAATTTAGAGTCGTAGAATATTACGAATTTATAATTTTGTGAATCTTGTAATTTTAGAACCTCATAATCTTAGAATTAAAAAATTTAGAACCTCAGTCTTAAAATTTTAAAATTTTAGAAATTTAGAATTTTAAGATCCTAGAATAGTATATGTCTACACTTTTCTGGGTTTCTGGGGGAGGCACTCTAGCCTCTAGTTACACCAATATATTACTTCAATATAACGCTGCAGCGAAAACTCCAGCATTCAGGTATTCCAATACAATGTTTTCCAAACTATTGCGACAGTCGCACCCGTACTGCATTTCCACTTTGTTTCTCTAGCTATTGAGAAGTATAGGATAAGTACAAAGAGTGAGCAATTTTATAATAAAAATAAAAAATTTGTCGCTTTTCAGTATAAGTTCATGAGAATATTATTAACAGTCAGATACAGTTTTTCTAGTCATCTAAAATGAATACAA